ATTAGCTGTTATTACTGTTTCTGTAGTTATTTCGCCTTTTACTCAGATGGTAGTTAGGTTTACAAAACACTCTGCATACATTATCAGAAAGCATGGAGCCTGGTTTGTAATGGGCCCAATGAATAAATTCTGAAATCAAGCATTAAGGGCTGTCTTCATCTGGGCCTTGGGCACATTCAACTCTGGGGCTGGTTTTGAGGTTGCAGCACTTGGGGCCAATTGTCTTAGGACCATGGTGGTGTTTGCTATTAAATATTGTCACAAGAACAACCTCAAATGCATTAGTGTGAGAGGCAAATTAATAAAATGTTCGTATTTTCTGACAGCTTAACTCTCAGTGAATGTTCTTTCCCTTGACTTTTCAGAGAAACAGGTCTGGTCTCAAATGTCATGTGCCCTTGCCTACAACTTTTACCTACTGGTTAATGTCGATGACAATTTTATATGAATTTCAAGCATCTGGTACACATCTGAAACTTGAAATGTAAACACAAAAATGAAATTTAGATTTACAGAAACTTTTTTCAGACCTGCCTTTCTGCTTAAATGAGGAGTATCAGTCCTGCTCCTGGCCATTTGCTGTCTCTGCCACTTGCACCCAAGAGCTTTTTGAATAAACCCACGCATAGTTTACTAGACAGTATCACACTTAGGTTAATTATGTGCCTTATAAGGTAAGAATAAGGCAGAGCAATCCACCACTTTGGAATATTCCTTCCTAATTTTTTTTAGCCTTGAAATAGCAAAATAAATGGGGAGAAATTTTAGAGAATTTTATTAGAGAAATAAAACATGACAAAATATATCAAGAGCATGTCTTTCCCGCTGAGTAAGAAATGGCAGATATTCATCATGTTTATTAGAAAGTAGTAAGAATAAAATCAAAGCATTTTGAACTGTGTGCACTTTTTAAATATAGAAAAGAACCACACTGTTCAAAGACGCAGTGAATCAAAAACACAACTTGGTGCCTTTTTTGTGTGTGGGGAGGAAACTTTCCTTCATTAAAACTGACACTGTTTAGAAAATCACAATGTCACCTCTAATCACAGTGCATTTTGTGTGGGGCTAATCTGCTCACTTCAAAGATTTTACTGAAATCAGTCCGATTTGTCATTTTTACTAGGATACAGCCTATAGCAAGAAACCGCATTTCAAATCCTTTCTTGATGTAAATTGTGGAAATGGTGAAATGAAGAGAGGAAACAATTTGGAAAAAAAAATGACAACCCTTTTTTTTAAAGAAGAAAAAGATTAGATTTTGAAACAAATTACTATAGTTACGTTTTTTATAAATAGGCAAAATTGTAGTTTAAACTTTATAGAGTTGTTCTGAAAATGAGTTATCATTTTGAGTTAATAAAGAATTCAGAACCGTGCCTTGCATATTTCATATTGTATAAGTGCTTGTTAAGTGCAGAAATACAATAATTCTTAGGATGCAATGTTTTAGGGTAGAAATAAATGTTAGTAACAATATGCCAAGAGAGAGGTGACCAGAGGTATCATAGGAATGTAGGAGGTACCTGAACATTTATTTGTGTGATTACCTATATTTGCTGATCTAAACCACTTAGTTCTGCAAAGGTTTTCTAAGAATAGTGTGACACCAGATGGTTTTCTTGAGTGTTGAAAATGCTTTGCTCTTCTTTCCTTTGTTAGGGCTTCACCTCTAGTTGCTTGGTTCTGGGAGAGTCTTTTAGATTTTTCTTTAAGGTCTTGTTATTAAGTTCCTTTCATCAAAATGTGCCCTGGCCTTAGTATGTCGCCCAATGAATTAGTACAATATAATTTTAACATGGTACACTCCCCCCAAACACACACTCAACCACAGATTTATGCATGCATGGTGTATTAGTCCATTTTGTGTTGCTATAACAGAAATACCTGAGTCTGGGTAATTTATAAAGAAGAGAGATTTGTTTGGCTTACAATTTTGGGACAGCTGCATCTGGCACGGGCCTCAGGCTGCTTCTACTCATGGCAGAAAGTGGCAGGCAGCCTGCGGGTACAAGTAGATCACATGGCGAGAGGAAGCAAGAGAGAGAGAGGAGGTGCCAGGGTCTTTTTAAGCAACAAGCTCTCATGGGAACTAATAGAGCAAGAACTCACTCATTTATCTCCTCTCCCCCAGGGAGAACATTAATCCATTCATGATGGATCCGCCCCCATGACTCAATCAGTTTCCAACACTGCCAGATTGGAGATCAGATTTCCACATGAGTTTTGGAGAGGACAACACATCCAAACTCCATCATTCTGCCCCTGACTCCCTAAAACTCATGTTCCTTTCATATACAAAATACAATCA